GCCTCCTAAATGCTGGGATTACAGGTGTGTGCCACCACAACCAGCCTGGAAACTGACTTCTAAGACACCTTTCTGCATCTAACTTCTACCAGTGAGTCACCACTTCCTCCCCTAACTTCTCCCTCTCTCTATGAAGTGTTGGAGTTCTCCAAAATTCAGCCCTTGGTACTCTTTCTTCTTCATCCAGTGAACTCCTTCCCTAAGGGATAAAGTTCATGGCTTTGCCAGCTAGCTATCTACTGATAATTCCCCATTTTTTAGCCCAAATCTTACACCTTCCCGTTAATGCAGATACCCAATCTCCTACGCAATATGTCCACTTGAATGCCTTAACTCCCTCCAACACCACAATGAAACTGAACTCATGGGCCCTATCTCAATTTCAAGGCCAAAACTACAGCACTAAAACTTCATCCCTCTTTTCCTTCATCCCCACACATTCAACCACTCTACTTGTTTTATCCCAAAAGATATCCCAATTCTGACTTCTTTCTTTTTTTTTTTTTTTTGGTACCAGGGATCAAACTCGGGACCCTGCGCTTTTGAAGCAGGCGGCAGAACCACTGAGCTAAATCCCCGGGTATGACCACTTCTAATCATCTTCATACACTATCAGTGCAGTGTCTCTACTAATAGTATACTACTACCACACTACATCTTGTCTCTAAAATAGTCACTTTGCTTCATTCTTACTCCACTAAAGTCCTCTTTTCTTCACAAAGGGACTAGAATTAAAAATTTTAAACTTAAATTTGATTACTTCTCTCCTTTTCTTAAAATTATCTAATGGTTTTCCATCACTAGGCCTATTAAAGCCCAATATGATCACTCTATCTCCAAACTTTTATCAATCTTCTATATCCTCTACTTGTACTATTTTTTGATATTTCCTGCACACCCTAAGCTTTTCACTTCTAGGATGCTCTCATCAGATGTTTTGCAAGGTTTGCTCCTTCTGAACATTTGGTCTCTTAAAAGTCACCTCCTTAGGTCAGCCTTCACTATTTTTAAAAGAGCACCTTTTCTTTGTCTCTCAGACCCTCTTTATCCAATCTGCTTTATTTTCTTACTCTATTTACTCCTGTCTGAAACTACAGTGTTTCATTGTCTATTTGTCAGCTTTCTCCTACTAGAATTTAAACTCCATAAAAATAAGAGGCTTTGTCTTATCACCTGCTAACTTTGGTACTGGGAATACTTTGTCGCATTTTGGTTGGTTGGTTGAATTAAATGAGAACCAAAACACACTAAATAGATTTACAATTAAAGTCAACTCAAAATTTTAAGAAATTAAAATACAAAAGTTTGATATGAAACTAGACAATACAAAACCATTGCCATTAATCTCAAAACTCATACACATCCAAAAATTCCCATCAGACACTGAACAAAGTGGGCGCTTCTACAATAAATCTACTTTTTTCTTAACTATTAACAAGTTTTTAAAAAAGTATTCACTTTCAGAATTTCTCTCTTAATTTCTAGTATCATTTTCTACCACTTTCCCTTCTGGTAAATATTCAGTTTTTCTCCTGTATGAAGGCCAAGTGTATCCACTTTGCAGAGCTAGCCTGAGAACTAACCACAGGTCTGATGTGAGCTGTTTCCCAGATTGCAGACACCTCCTCTCCCAACACACACACCCCAGCTAACCAGGCTCTTAACAGGAAATACTGGAACCTCCCCATTTTCCATGAATGAAAGGGTTAATACCTGACAAACCAAGGTACCTGTTCAGACCTGACTAATACCTAAGTCATTAGATATTTTAAATATCAACTCTATATCACCATATAAAACTGCATTTATGACAAATTCAGGGGTGGAAGAGGGTAACATGAAATGAATTTAAACCACCAACTTAAATATTTTTCTCTGTAAATCAGAAAGCAAGTATCTTTCTGTTCCTTTTTCTAGATTTCTAACTTAAGATGATTTGTCATTCTTCCTCCTTCATTTTGGACCAGCCATCCTGGATCTGAAGTAGCACTAGTACAACTTGAGCAAAATAATGTTCTTTTGTGCAAGCTGTCCTGTGCAGTGTTGGATGTGCCCACTACCACTAGATGCCATTGGCGCCTTCCCCTAGATGTGACAACAAAAGTTTCTCCACACACTCTCAAATGTCTCTTGGGAGGTCCAAATTGCAGCTGGTTGGGACCCAATGATCTTAAACATAGCTTTCCTTATATCTTTACACTCTGCCATGTGCACTTGGGTTCCTTGACCCACTATAAATTTTCACAGATAAAAATGAAACCCCTACCACTTTATACTACTCCAGCCTAGCCTAGCAGAACAACTCCTCTCTAAAGCTTGATGTGTATTCTCCTACAATATTGCCTTCCTTGTGTTTTCACATGAATTCACATTTTAGTTATATCCCAGTGTTTAAAAAACAGCTAAATGGGGCCGGGGATTTAGCTCAGTGGTTCCACTGCCTGCCTCACAAGCGCAGAGTCCCGAGTTTGATCCCTGGTACCCCCCCAAAAAATAAAATAAAATAAAAAAACAGCTAAATGTGTATATATCTACACCTTACATATCAACTGACACAAATCACACATTTTTGAAGCAAGAGATATTTAAAACTTGAAATAAAAATTTTTTTTTTGGTACCAGGGATCGAACTCGGGTCTTTGTGCTTGCGAGCCAAGCGGCAGAACCACTGAGCTAAATCCCTGGCCCAAAATAAAATTTTTTAAAAAATCAAAATATGCTTCTACAGAAAAGTCAGAAAATTCCAAATAAAATGTCTTTAAAAATCAAATTTTAGGGCCGGAGATTTAGCTCAGTGGTTCCGCCGCCTGACCCACAAGTCAAAGGAGCCGATTTCGATCCCCGGTACCAAAAAAAAAGTCAAATTTTAATCGCTGGGCATGGTGGCACATGCCTGCAATCCCAGCACTTGGGAGGCAGAGGCAGGAGGATCGCCACGAGTTCGAGGTCAGCCTAGGCTACAAAGTGAGTTCAGGGCCAGCCTGAACACAAAGCGAGACCTTGTCTCAAAGAAAAAAACCAGAAAACAAAACCCCCCAAAATCAAATTTAAATATACTTGGAAATTTAATTACAAAAAGTCTCTTCAAAGTAGGCATTCAAGAGAAACTTTATACCACTCAAATCCTCAAATTAAAGTTTAAATTCAAAATGACAACTTACTTCTAAGTATCAAAATGCTACAAAACATTAACTTCAGAACTTTTTGGGGGGGGAGGGGGTTCCAGGGATCGAACTCAAGACCTTGTGCTTTCGAGGCAGGCTCCAGAACCACTAAGCTAAATCCCCAGCAACTCCAGAACTTTCATGAGGTAGTATTATTCTTTGGTAAAATGTTACTCTTTTCAAAAAGTGGCTAACTGGGCGTGGCACACCCGTGTAATCCCAGCACTAGGGAGGCTGAGGCAGAAGACCAAGATTTGGAGGCTTGCGGAGCAATTTAGCAATCTTTCTCGCTCTCTCCCACAAAAGAAATACATACATACGTAAAATAAACACAAAGCCAGGCAAACTGGCACAGGCCTGTAATCCCTACTATGCGGGAGACTGAGGCAGGAGGATCACAAATACAAGGCCAGCCTGGGTCACACAGCAAGACTCTCACCACTTAAAAGGGGAGGCGCGGGGATGCAGTCTGAGCTCCACTAGAGCACTGGCCTGGCTCGCAGGAGGCCTAGGGCTCAAGCTCCAGCGCACACCCCCAAGGGGCTCTCAAAAAGGACAAAGGTCTCAAAAACTTCAGTTAACTACAGAAATACTTTGATTACTGAAATAAAAACATTTTTAAAATTAATAGGATTTAACTAAAGATTAACTTTTTTAAAAACTATACTTTATTTTGACATTTCTGTCCACAACATAAACTCTGAAATTCAGAGCTAACATCCTTGCCCGGAAGCTTCTTACAGACACAGAGAACATTTCAGCCCCCTCCGCGCTGGTCGGCTGGACCTTGTCCAGCTTCCCGCCGATCCTCTTGCCCACGATCTCACCGGGGAAGACCAGGTCCTCCAAGATGGCGGGGCTTCGTGGACGCTTTTGCTTATTTTTCGTGCGGCTTTTTCGAGATGGCTTAGGCAGAATTCTCCTCTGTACGATGAAGATGAAGACCACGTTTCCCGCCGAACTTCTCCAGCTCATGCACTAGCTGGACCTGGATTTTCTTGAAAGACTTCAGCTGGGGAACCGGGACAAAAATTATGATAGCTTTCCGACCTCCACCAACTTCGGTTTCCTGGGCCGCCGCAGTGTTGAGTCGCGCAGCTGCGCCTTGAAGTTGAGTCTGAGTTCACTCCAGCTCCTGCAGTGCCCGGAGAGTCCTGACTGGAACTCGCCATGGGGCTTGACTCGAGCTGAACGTGCGAGACCTCTGCAGACCGCTGGCTTAGGAAGAGCAAGACGGACACTACTTCCTCATTATACAGATAGATAATAAAGGAATACACGGGCCACTCTTATACATGTGAACAATTTAAGATCTGAATTAAAACACTGCGTCTTTAAATAGCAACATGACTCTGGACAGAAATTTTAATTTCCAAGTTTCCCTACTCTATAAATTGGGGGATAATACCTACATATAGCATAACAAAGGTTAAAATAATGAATGCAAATATGCTACATAATTTTAAGTGATTATTATTAAATGTGCATGAATGCGCCCATAAAATTTTAAGTAACACTACTGTTAGTGACGAGATAATTAAGAGTACCTTTGTCATAAACTCTCATTTTCTTTCTTGTCCTCTCCCTCTCCTGCCCCTCCCCCTCTGACATACACAGGTGCCTTTTCTTTTTTTTTTTTTTGAGACAGGGTCTCCCTATGCAGTTCAGGCTGACCTTGAACTAACTCTGTGTAGCCCAGACTGGCCTTGAACTCACAGTGATACTCCTGCCTCAGTTTCCCAAGTGCTGGGATTACAGGCGTGTACCACCACACTCAGCTCTGAAACTTGTTTTTTTTTGGTACCCGGGATCGATCGAACGCGGGTCCTTGGGCTTTCGAGGCAGGCGGCAGAACCACTGAGCTAAATCCCCGGCCCTCTGCAACCTTTTTTAAATTAAGGAAACAATCCAGTTTTAACCAATTCTTATTCCTTCTGTGAGTTTATAAAGATAATTCTCCTCCATTTACTAATTGTGGTAAATTTCTATATTCTTTCCCCCTAGGACTCTTACTTCCTTTTGAGGAATTCTCTTTCTCCTCTATGCAATCTTGAGAAAAGAGGAATTTCTGGTGACCACGACCCCCTGTAAAACCCACTAGGCTTGGGCTGGGGATTTAGCTCAGTGACGCCACACTTGCCTCTCAAGTGCATGGTTCTGAGTTCGATCTCCAGTACCAGGGGGAAAAAAAACAGCCAAGATCCTACCTAGACCAGTAGAGCCAGGGGGTGGACACAGACTGTCTCCCCTAAAACATGAACAGTAATCCAAAGGAAGGGCTATTTGGAAGTTGGTCATGGCAGAAGCAAGGCTCCAACAGCCTTTCTCAGGCAGATGCCTGATACCACGAACCCAGAAACTCTGAACAGAGCTCCCTCCCCTCTTGCCACCCCTTCTGCCAGGGCTGCCCTTCCCTTCCAGGAGCCTCTGAACAGCAGCTTCCAACAAATCTCTTCTATGACTAGATCTTTCTACTTGCAACCAAGAACTGCAACTGCCATGTTAATGGAGGGACAGAGAAGCCTGTCTTTTCAAATCTAGGAATAAACTGGATAAGGAAAGCAGATGAGTTTCTTTCTCATGCTGAGATCTGAGGGTTATAAGCATATATTAACTAAAGTTTCTAATCATTATGGTATACCAATAATTATTACCTTAAATAAAATTTTGAAAGTATCAGGCCATTATAGATATTCAGGATAAATTGTATAATTAAATATCGCTATGTCTGCTGAACTGCTGAAACAAAATATGAAAAAAAGCAAACTCAAAATGTCTATCTTTAATCTGTGAAACTGGAGATAGACCTTTTCCCAAAGACATAGGAAGAACTGGACCTTTAATTGGGATCCTTAATCGTGCCATTAATATTATAGCAGTTCTGTAACTTCTTAAGAACACAATGTGCATCTTTTTGCAGTAACTTTTTTTTTTTGGTACCAGGGATGGAACTCAAGACCTTGCACTTGCCAGACAGGAGTGGGACCACTGAGCTACATCCCCGGCGACAATATGCATCTTTTAAACCGCTGTATCCATGGCCTAGCACTCAAAAAGCAGGTAAATTTAGTGAAATATTAAAAATGAAACTTCCTAAAAATGTCATAGTTTATACTTTTTAACTATTAAGCTATTAAGTATATTAAGTAATGCAAATGTAACTTGAAGAAAAATACTGATTGCCCCTGACTAGTAGTTTGGTTCAATCACCTAGGTTTAAATCAAACCTGCTCTTATTTATAAAATAGCTATTTTCTATTTCTGTGATATTTTCCTAAAATCCATGATCATCCATGTGGTTAACTCTTAAACTATGGTAGCAAACAGATTAATGAAATGGGGAGGCATATTTGTGCACTCTCTAGCAAAGCACTGGGAACCCAAATGACTTTCACTTCCACTAAGACTGGACAGGGTCAGAGTCTGACATTAAGGTGATGAGTTAATGTTTCTTATCACAATGCCATTGCCAAGTATATGCAGTTGTATTCAGGGATTCCTATTTTCACATTCAAAAACAGGCATATGTTCAGTTGGTGGGTTTTTACTAAATTAAGATCATTTAACACAGTATCTAATTTATTAATAAGTCAGAGGGGAGCTAAAAAAAAAAGTAAGTCAGAGGGGAGCTGGGAGTGTATAGCTCAGTGGCAGAGTGCTTGCCTAGTACATCCAAGGCTCTGGGCTACATCCCCAGCACTGAAAAGAAAAAAAAAGAAAAGGAGTCATGGGTAAAAAAAGCACAAAAGCCTAGGGACAGACTGTCTAGAGGACCAAGTAACAAAGTAGGACGGTAAGACTACAGCCGAGGTATCAGAAAGCTGGAGACAGAGGTATAGAAAGCCAGATCATTCAAAGACTTGGACTTGTGAGTGGGAGGGAGGGGCAATTATGGAAAGCCAATGAAAGGGCTTTTCCAGGGAGACAGATCTTTTGCAAACTGGAAAGGGACCAAGGGATTGGGAGGGAGGGTTAAAAAAGAATTAAGATGTGTTAAGTACATGTACCAACTCTCCATGATGAATGTAATCACTATGTACTGCAAACATGCAATAATAAAAATGTTAACAAAACCAGACAAATAAAAAGAGAGGGAGAAGGCTTTTCCAGTCCCTTTACAAGGATGCAGTGTTAGCTTAATTGCAAGGAACAAAAAGTTCACTGCTATGGTTTCAGAGTCCACATTGCATGTAACCTTTAAAAAAACCTACATTTTCATTATATTGTACACCTAAAATGTACCAATAAAAGGATATACAAAAAAAAAACCCAAACAAACAAACAAAAAGAAACCTACATTTGGGCCAGGGATTTAGCTTGCCTCGCAAGCGGAAGGTCCCGAGTTTGATCCCCAGTACCAAAAAAAAAGAAACCTGTATTTGTGGAGTATGATGTCAAAGAAAAATATTAATATCTGAAAAAATTGGTAAATAAATGCCTTTTCTTTTTTCAAATATTCATCTGCATAAGGCAGGACTTTCTGCGTACATGTATTTTAACTAAAAGAGCAAACCATGATGGATTGCTCAAGTAGATGTGAGAATATCTGTTCCTATGTTCACTCCAAAATTGCTGACAATAGATAAAATATGGAAACAGTATTAAGCATCCACTTATGGATGAGTGGATTAAGAAAAAATAGGGCCAGGGATTTAGCTCAGGGGCACTGTACCTGCCTCGAAATCACAAGGTCCTGAGTTTGATCCCCGGTACCAAAAAAATTTTTAAAATGAATGAAATGACAGAATATTATTCAGCCTTTAAAAAGGAGACACTGTCATTTACGGGAACATGGATGAACCTAAAGAATATTATACAGTACTAAGCAAAATAAATCAAAGTAAGACAAAAAGCAATACTGCAAAATATTATCTATATGTGAAATCTAAAAAAATGTCAAACAGAATGGAACAGTGGTTTCGAGGGGCAAAGAGGGAAGAGGTAGGTAACAGAGTACAAGCCTATACTTAAATAGGATAAGTAAGTATAGAGACTTAATGTATAAAATAAGGACTACAGTTAATAGCATTATATTGTATAATTGAAAATTTGCCAAGAAAATAGATTTTAGGTGCTCTTACCACAAAAAAAGTGAATGAGATGACAGCTATGTTAATTTGCTTGACTACAGTAGTTATTTCACTATGTGTCTATATAATACCATTTTGTAGAGCCTAAATATATACAATAAAAATAAATAAAGGAATAGATGAGTTGCATGATATGTAAGTTGTATCTCAATAAAACTCCTATTGAGAGACAGAGAAAGAGGATAAAGAATAAAACAAGGAGACAGGAATAAAAAAATATATAAGCTGCAAAAATAGTTTCATTAGTAGGTCTAAATCAACTACTGAACAATTAGACAATAAATATAGAAAATAAACTTCATATGTAGCATTATATGCATACTGAAAGCATTCTGAGCCCCCTCCTAAGCCTGGTGTGAATATTTTGGGAAAAAAAACTACTAAAATTTGTTCCAAATGTTGAAACTTCTGGCAAAGCAACATTTACATTAGCAACATAAGGATATTTTTAAATATACTTTTAAAAAAACAGAAAATAAACTGGCAGTATGTCTTAAAACATTCACAAAATGACCAACAAATTTCAGAATAATCTCTTGCTTTTAATTACCAGCACCACAGCAGAACTCCAGGTATCACCAGGTAAAGGTGAGGAAACAGGCTGATTCTATTCTACTCACTGCCTGAGTCCAGGCAAACAAATAAACAAACCCAACCAAACAAAAACAAAAACAAGATTTTTGTGATTTATCTATACATTGGCTTTTCCATTTAAGTTTTTTACATTTAAAAAGCACTCCACTCTTTAAAAGGTGGGGAGGAATCTCATCATTGAGAGGGAAAATGGAAAAAATAGATCAAATAAATTCTAGGGAGTGAGACTCAGAGAATGCAGAAAGGGAAAGAAAAGATTTTCATTTTAAATATATATATTTTTGAATACTAAATGCTTATTACTATTTAAAAGGGAACAAATTCTCCCAAAAGTGAATCACAAAGGAAGTCTCAATTTTTAAAGCTCTTTTTCTTAAGGAAGCTATAAAGCCATTAGGCTCAGCTAATCGGCATATTAACGATTATACCTGGCCATTTGAAACATACTTTATAAAATATAAAAATAAGCTTATTCTTTTGCTATAACAAAAGAACTAAGACTAAAATAGCTCAGCACTATGAGTTGCTAAAAAGCACTACATACTGCAATTCTAATAAACCACAGATGGAATGTTTTGACTCATGTATGATTTTTTTTCCCCCCATAATGGTGATGGCATGAAAAAACTAGAAGTTACTTAATGGTAGAACAATAAAATGAATTTAAAAAAAAATAGTTGAATATTCTAATAATCATTCTAAAATCTCAATCATTCTAAAAGCTAAAACTCTCCAGATATTAAAATTATTATGTATCAAGTTATTCACTTTGGCAACTTCAAAGTTGTTAAATCTAAATACTGTAAGAGGGATCTCATTGGCAGATAGTACTCCAAATAAAAGCAAACGTCAACCAGAACTGGCTTATAGAACAGAAATGAAAATATTTCTAGTTACTTCTACATTTTCCAGCCTGGAAAGTTTAAGATTACCTCAAGTAAAATACTAATGTAACACAGAAAGTCTGTAATTAAATAAAAGGTGATTCCACTGCACTCAGGTCCCGTAAGTTTTACAGAACATGTATTACAGACTGAGATGGCTGACTGCAAAATTCAAATACAGCCAGTGGAATGAAAAATTACCATTTCTAATAGGATTTTAACACATAAAGTGTCCTGGCTTAGAACAGGGAAGGATGGGAGGTTTGAGGGTGATGTAAATACAATTTGCCTTCACTGGACACTTTCTTTCCAAGGGTTTGTATAGCTGCTATGAAAAATAAAGTATAATTATCATTGCTATCTAAAAAGCAGTAATTTCATTATGAAATATCTTTACTAAAAGTTTGTGTTGTTTCTACTTTCAGACCAAGATAATACAACTTCAACGGGAAAAAAATTTTTTTCACAAAAATTTTTCTGTGAATACATGGTAAAATTTCTAAACAGACTAAAATGCAACGAGAGAAAAACAATTAGAATGGCAGCAGATTTCTCATTAAAAAACAGATCAGAGGGAAGTGGTACAATCTTCTGTAGGTGCTGAAAGAGGCATTAACCCAGAATTTATACCCAGCAAACACATCCTTCTGGAATGAAGAGGTCAAGACATTCTCAGATGAAACAAAACTATGAATTGCCAGCAGACCTACCCTAAAAGAATGGCTAATGGAAGTATTCTAAACAGAACAAAAATGATAAAAATTATGACGCCAATAGATTAATAAATAATGCACACAGGACGTTACAGGAGCCACTGAAAAAAGCTATACAAAGAGATACTTTACAACATTAGGAAAAAAAACCCACAATGCAAGTCTAAAAAATTTAAGTTACCCACAGTAAGGCACAAAAAAAGGAAATATGAATCAAAAGCAGGATAAGCAGAAAAAAATAAGAAAAAATGGCAGCCCTAAACCATATCAATATCTGCACTGCATATAAATGATCTAAATTGCTGGGCATACAGTATTGGCATACTCCTGTAATTCCAGCTACTCAAGAGGCTGAAGTAGGAAGACAGCAAGTTCGAGGCCAAGGTGGGCAACTTAGCAAGGCTTTCCTTAAAATTAAAAAAAAAATTTTTTTTTTTGGTACTGGAGATTGAACTTGGGACCTTGGCCTTGTGAGGCAGGTAGAGGCACCACTGAGCTAAATCCCCCGTCCTAAAAAAAAATTTTTTTTAAGAGCTGGGGCTATAGCTCAGCTCCATCCTCTGTAGCACACAAATAAATAGTCTAAACACAATTACTCGCAGAGATTGGTTCTTCAACTTTGGTGCTTGGGAAGACCATGTTCTTGGATCCTATTGTGAACAGCCTTTGAAAAGGTCATAAGACTACAGTTCAGAAGAAAGGAATAGAGCTAAATAATCGAGAAAATGCTTCCTCTTTTTTTTTTTTTGGTACTGGAGATTGAACTCAGGACCTTGCGCTTGTGAGGCATGCGCCGGAACCACTGAGCTAAATCCCCGGCCAGTGCTTCCTCTTGATACTGATGTACTTGTCTACAGTGATAATTTAGAAAGTACTGAACATCTTATAAGAGAGTTCATTACCCATGTGGGCTTAGTTATAGAGCAGGTGGTTTGTGACCACATGGAAGGGATCACGGCCTTCTATTTAAAGGAAGCACATAAGCAGGGTTGGTAATAAAATAAAATTGCTGAAGTAAAGGCACAATAAGGTAAATTCTCAAATAATACAGAGGAAATGGCCAAAAAAAAAAAAAAATCAAGAGAAGAAAAAGAGAGATGTAGAAGGCCTATCCAGGAGATACAATCTACCTGTAATTGGAATACCTGAAAGAGAGGACAAAGCAAACGATCCTGAAATAATAATTAAGGAACTAATAGAAAACTTTCTGGAGTTGAAGAACAAAGTAGGCCAGCAAATGAAGAAGGCTCACAGAGTACCTCTAAAATTTAATGAGAAGAAAGCAACAGCTGGACATACCATCATGACTTTAAATTTCAACGATGAAAAACTTTTCCAAGTATCCAGAGGAAGCAAGTTACCTATAAAGGGGCAAAAGTCAGACTGACCTCAGATTTTTCTCTTGCAATTCTAAATGCCAGAAGACAACAGAACAACATCTACAGAGCTTTAAGGGAAAATAATTTTGAACCAAAAGTTATAGACCCTGCCAAGTTAGTATTTGTATGTGAAGGCAACTGGAAGACATTCGCAGATACCAAGGGGTTAAGTATATCAACCAAGAACCTTCTTTGCAAATGTTGCTGAATGATTAACTGCAGCCAACAGAAAAAAGAGCAGAGAGATAATTGTATGAGAGATGTGATGGTTTAAAATAGTTAAGAACATGAAGTTTAAAATTGTTAAATATAGGGTAATAAATCTAAATGAAAAATTGATTTTGTAAGCTAGATCTAAAATTTTTCAGTTTATATAGTTTTAAACTGTCAAAGTACATGCCAAATATTCAATGTACTGAACAAATAAAGATGCATGTTGTTAAGCCAAATGTATGTTAGATAAAAGTGCTTTGTCACTGTGGGCAGGATAAGTACAGTGAAGACATTCTAAATATTAATCTGACAAATTTGGAAGATGTTATGGTTTTACTTCCTTTAAAAAAAAAGCTAACAAGTTCATAATGTTAATACTGATAATGTAAGGAGAAAATTTCTGAAACACTGCTTGGAGAGGATGGATATGTTTGAAGTACTGAATTGGAAAAACCAGTAATTAATGCATCAGATCCTAGTTTATATAAGTCAATTTGTCATTGAGTTGTAGACAAAAAATAGATTATATACATTCCAAGTTTCTGCAATGGAAAATAAGTGAAAAACTAAGAAAAAGCAAAAGAAAAATATCAAGGAAGGATTACATTTTGCATAGAAGATACTGACAGAAATAGAGGTGAATTATACCCATAAACTGGTTAAACTCCCAATTAAAAAAACCAAAATTGAGTAAAAAAACAAAATCAATCTCTTATCTGAGACACATTTACATAAAATAAAAATTTAAAGGTAACAGAAATTATTTAGGAGAGTAATATTTTTATTAAGCAGAAATAAGGATGTTTCACAAAAAATTTCATATTTAAGAGACCATGTGGCATTCATATGTAAGATTTTTGCTCAATATCTTGATGTGGGTGATAGATAGTTTTACTGTTGTAAACTGATATAGATACATATATTTTAAAACACATTTTAAATTACTTTATGTGTTTAAATTCATTAAATGATCCTTCAATTAAAAAGAATACATATATGTGGCCCAAAATTTAAAAACAAACAAAAAAACAGATTGATAGATTACAAACCATGACCTAACTATGTGCTAACTATAGGATATTCACTTCGAATATAATGATATGAGGTCAAATTTTAAAAGATGTATCATGCAAGCATTAACAGAATTAATGCAAGAGTGCTTATACTAAAATCACATAAAGTAGACTTCAGAGCAAGAATTCTATTGGAGACAGAAAACATAATGATAAAAGAGGTCCATACTCCACAAAGACAGCAATCTCAAATGTGTGTCCACCAAACAACAGAAAAAAATTGACAGAACTGAGGAATTTAGCAGACTTGTAAGTGATGAGGATAGGTGTGAACTGGGTATACACAGGATAGGAAATAAGCGGGCCGGGGATTTAGCTCAGTGGCACGGTGCCTGCCTCGCAAATGCAAGGTCCTGAGTTCGATCCCCAGTACTGCAAAAAAAAAGATAGGTAATAAGCAATCCATAGTGTTGTCCCACCATAGGATTTGGAGCCAGAAGCCCAAACAGGAACTTTCCAAATACTTGGAAATTAATCAACATATTTTTATCTAATTATCTGTGGGTCAAAGAAATATTAAGAGAAATTTAAAAAGGAAAAATAGAAGAAAGTTTATAGCATATTAGAAAAAAAGAAAAATCTCAAATCAGCAAGTTTTCTCAAGAATTACCCAAAAGGAAAAGCAAAGCAAGTAAAAAGAAGAAAATGACAGAAATCAATAAAACTGACTGGGTGAGGTGGCTCACACCTGTAATCCTAATACTTAGGAGGCTGAGGCAGGAGGATCACCATGAGTTTGAAGGCCCCCTAAGATAACGTAGTGAGTTCAAGACCAGACTGAACTACATGGCAAGACGATCTCAAAAGAAAAGAAATCAATAAAAAATTAAAAACAGAAAAACAATGAAAAGCCAGAGTTCTTTAAAAAGATGAAAAAGTGACAAACCTCTAGAAAGACTGACAAAAAAGTGAGAAGCACAGAGGTACAAATCTAACAAAACATATATAGGACTTGTATACTGAAGGCTAGACAACACTGATGAAGAAATCAAAGAAAATCTAAGAAAAAATAGTGATACGCCATCTTCATAGATTGGAAGACTCAACATAATGAAGATATCAGTTCTCCCCCGCCCAAAATTAATATAAAGTTTTAACATAACTCTTACCAACAACTTAGCAATCTTTTTTGGTAGATATTGTCAAGATTATTCCAAAATTTTCATGAGAAGACAAAAGAAATACAGTACCTAAAATATTTTTTAAAAGAAAAATAATGTGAGAGGATCTCTTCTGCCCAATTTCAAGACTTATTATGTATCCACAGTAATAAAAACTGTGCAACACTGGTAGAGGGATAGTTGCATACATCAGTAGAGCAGAAGACCCAGATGTAGGTCCCCAAAATTATACCCAATTAATTTTTGACAAAAGCAATTCAATAGAGAATTTCAATCAATGGTGCTGGAACAATTGGACATCCACAGTTCAAAAAATAAAACAAAAACCTCAACCCATGTCATACTTTATATAAAAATTAACTCAAAATGTATTGTGGACTTAAAGGTAAAAGATAAATTTATAAAGCTTCTAGGAAAAAATACAGACGGAAATTTTCAGGCTCCATGGATAAGCAAAGAGGTCTGAGACTTACTATGAAAAGCTCAACATGTGAAAGAAAAAGACTGATAAGATAAACTTTATTAAGATTAAAAACTTTTGTTCTAGAAAGAGAAACCACCAGCAGTGTGAAGAGACAATCCACAATGTGGGAAAAAATTTTCACCTGCTCTTCCTCAGACAAAGGTCTACTATCTCGAATCTATAAAGAACTTAAAAAGATCAG